AGTCTGCTGAACAGTTCTACTATAAGCTGATGGTCGCTAAAGCGACCATCAGCTTATAGTAGAACTGTAAATGGCAGGTCCGTACGACGTACTGAGCTGGCCAGCTGGAAGCACTTTTGTAGCTCCGTACGACGTACGTCCTTGGCAGCGAAAGGGTTAAAGCCCTACATGCTCACGTAACTCCCTGGACACACAGTCTGCATTTGAGGTTTTACGTTTATGCACATGTGACTGTTTATGCAGTGCCAACAACAGCGTACAGCTATTAACCTTTATATGAGGCTTTACAATGCACCTAGAGCAGGGGTAGGCAACCTTGGCTCCCCAGCTGTGCTGAAACTACAAATCCCATGCGTCATTGCAAGCCACAGGCAAGACTACCAGAGGCAGAAGCATGATGGGATTTGTAGTTCCAGCACAGCTGGAGAGCCAAGGTTGCCTACCCCCGACCAAGACCATCCTTGGATAACACCCCAACCTGGCCTATAGGTGGTTAAAGTGGAAGTAAAGTTATGAAAAAAAACCTGTTGATCGGCAAGCTTAATATGAAAGCAGAGACTGTGTAAGTCTCTTCTGCCATAAAAGCTTCTTATTGCCATTCAGCATTTTTTGTTTTCTGTACAATGAGCTACGCATGCGCAGCTCAATGTGCAGACCTGGCATGCCAAGATGAAGTAACATCATTGGGGCCCAGCCAGTCATGTGACTAAAGACCAAGAGGAAGATGGAAGCGCCGGTGAGGGATGAACACAGCACTGTAGCGGATCCGTTTGGCAGGTAAGCCTGCCACAATGTGCTAAAATGCCGTGCACACGAGCACATGACGGCTTAAAGTGTAACTCCACTTTTTTTGAGAAAAACAAAATACCCTCTGCGTGATCAATGCAAGGATTTTAACAAACTTTGTTGCAGATTCCAAACATTTTCTGTTTTGAAGAAAAATCTTTTTAATTTCCAGCGGATTCCTGAGGGTCTGGGTTCATTAGAATTAGCTGGTGCGCTTCCTGTGTTCTAATGAGGAAAGGTGTCGGCATGCCTTTAGTTGTAATTAACTCTTAGAGAATACCTCACCAAAAATTATATTCCTACCGCAAGGGATGCCTACAATTCTATTTGTATCTTCTGGGCAAAATTAGTCAGCCAATCACTGAAGCAGGAAGTGTCATTTCTGGGAGCGGTCCATACACCAACAGTGTATAAAATGCTTCCAGGTCACCATATTGCTTTGAATTTACAACTGAAAATGAAAAACGGCTTGTACAGAAATTTTATATGATATATTGATTTCCTTTCATTTAAAACATTTTTTTTAAATTTTATTTGTATATATACTATATTACCAAAAGTATTGGGACGCCTGTCTTTACACGCACATGAACTCTTTTATCGTGTACAGGGGCGGGGGGCTGTGTGCAGTAGAAACAGAATGTTCCTAAGAACTATTGCATATTGCAGAAAACCTTTAAAAAAAAGTACTTTGACTAAAATGCACTTTTATTTTCTCATCAGAAAAGCAGTGGCCTAGTGTAAAATCTGAAGAAATTGCAAGCCAAAGAAGTCGGTTGGTGTGGGCTCACAACGATGCAATTTTTTCAGATTTTACACTGCACCACTGCTTTTCTGATAAGAAAATAAAAGATTATTTTACATAAAGTACTTTGTGAAGTCCTTGGTGCGGGATACCTTTTGCTGCAATATGTTCTGGTTAACCCTGAACACTGGTGAGTTGGTGACTACAACACAAGCACAGTGGACCAAAGAACTATTGCTGCATGTTAATAATATGAAATGCAGGGCAGCTCCCAGAAAATAAAACATGTACAGTGATGCAAGAAAAATAAAATAATAATTGTACTTTCCACGTATGCTTCCAATTATGCTGTCATTTTTTATTTTGTTTTTATCCTTTTATATACAAATAATGCTGGTTGGAAGAATACATATTATTTATGAAACAATAATAAGTCATTAATGAAACAAAGCAAATGTAACAAAATCAGCTGCTGGTGGCAGAGAGTGCTCCATGCAAATGTTTTGGAGGAAAAATTCAAGACAAAAGACATTTAGAAATACATGTTACCTCCGTTACTGAAATTTGCAAGCTGCTCTGTGTACTTTCTTGAAGCGCACATTAGAAGATATTCACATTCAAGTCTACAGGGGACTGTTTTGAGTTATCGTAAACAGGCTTAGAAGGCCAGTGAAGTGCTCGGCTTAAGATCTTCTGACTGGTGGATCACAGAAAAGGCATAAGTAACATATGTTGTTGTCTCCTGCGCCCTTTGAGTTGAGTTTTCCTTTAAATATTAGTAAAGTAGTGCTAACTGGCCTGGTGACTGGACAGAGACAGCAAATTCACAAAGGAGTCCTGTGTACTAATGCAGCCAACAAGAGTCCATTAATTTGCGTCAACATCAGTGTTGGGATTGGTGGCACGCGTGATTTTATCTGCACTGTGGTTTTCTGATGAAACGGTCATATACCGATTATTATTGAAAGTTTGGCAATGTTCTAACATCTGCTATAAGCCTTGCCTCCATGATGGAACAGCCCTGAAAAAAATACATAAAGCATAGTTACTTATTTATTACAGGTATTTATATAGTGCTGACAATTTACGGAGTGCTTTACATACTGCACAATCAGTCCCTGCCCTCGAGGAGTTTACAATCTAAGGTCCCCATCTCATATACATACTAAGGCCAATTTAGACAGGAGCCAATAAACCTACCAGCATGTCTTTGGAAGAATATAGTTAATATTAATAATAAACACGAGTGTGATTTGAACGTATATCACCAACTAAAACATTTCCCTCATCTCCTGTAACACAAAACTAAGTTGCCACTAAGGCAGCCTGCTGGGTATGCAATGAGAGCTCTTGCTTTACCGTACTAGGATTTCATTCACACCAGAAACATTATCTGCATGGAGTTGGAATGTTCTGCCCGTGGTTGTCTGGCATTCATTCAAGAGTATACCGGTAGGATAAGCTTTAACCATTGTGTGCAAATCTGTTTGCCTTTGCTAGGAAGATTATACTGTAAGCTTCTTGATGAGCAGGATCTAATGTGAATGACCTAGGTACTCTGTACAGCACTGAAGAATTAGTCTTCACTATAATGAATTCAATAAATATATTATACACTCATACATACTGTTTCCCCTGGAGCTCAGCTTTCAAACTACTTTGTTGTGGTATAACGTGTCACCTGTCATGGAAGATGGGTGGTATATACAATTACCGATGAGGAATGTGTAACAGTGGAGTTGTTCCTGATGGCCCTGTATTTTTGAAGCGCTCTTCCCATCCTTTTGTAAGCTTACACAGCCTGGAAGGATCTCGGTCAACATGAACCTGTACCTGTTTTCAATATAAGAAAAATAAAACTTTATAAATGTGAAATGAAACAAAAACTGGAGCGTCGCATGCTTACAAATACTTAACCTGCATTAGTCAATGCAAAATTCCATATTATTAAGCTGTAGGGTAAGGATGCAGGATCATAAAATTGTCTGAGCTTGGAGTTCGGCTCTAACACTATGGGGTATATTTACAAACACTTTGCTCAGCAAACAGATCTCTGAACAAGATTCACAGCACATTATGGCACCAATAGATGGAGCCAAGGAGCATAAGAAATTCCTATGTTTCTTGGCTCCACCTAGTGGCAATAATGTGCTTCGGGTCTTGTTCGCAGAGCTGTTCACAGTGAAAACGGTTTACAAAAGTCCCCATAAGTCATGTTACCTTTTCTTTTAATTTTTCAAGCCTCTTCTCTTTTTCTTTTGCTTCTTCTTCCTTAGTCATTTTTTCTTGCACCTTTTCCTCTATTTTCCTCTGATCCTGGAACAGGATTACAATAAAGAAATTCTGTTAACGCAGCGTGCCAGAAGAAATATACATTTTTCTTATTAGAACTAAAACATTCCAGTGCAAGATAAGAGGAGTCTGGGAAATCCATCTGAAATTAAAGTGTGCGTATAGTCAAAACTTTTTGTTTTTTAGTTTTGGATAAAGTAAGGAAGGGTTAAAACCCATGGGTCTGGTCTTCACGGTCAATGTCTCACTGTAGAGATTTTCCTTCTCTTTCTGTCCAGCAGATGCAACAGGAAGCAAGATAAAATCCTCTGCAAAAGTGAGGGGAATACCCACTGCAGCAACTTTTCTTGTTCTTTTAAAAAGGGACACTAGGAATGCACCGATGACTAGCCCGATACCCGAACTTGCGGTATCAGGAAGCCGGGCAGTGAGTCATTAAACCCTGCCTCGCTTCCTGATTGGCCGTGAAGCCGGATCCATGCTCCCTCGTCACTTGGTGATGAGGGAGCATGGAGCCGGCTTCCCGACCATTCAGGAAGTTGGGCAGCGTGTAATGACTCGCTGCCCGGCTTTCTGATTGGCCAGAAAGCTGGCTTCATGCTCCCTCGTCACCTGGTGTGTGTCCAAATTTAGAAACAAATAGTATCATCTCAATGTAATTTAGAATTCAGTCAGCCAACATAAGGAAGCTGCCTGGTTGATTTTGTACATGTATTTAAACAAAGTTATATTTATGGAGTTCTAGAGTCCCAACATATACTATCCTGTTATAACATCACATTGTACTATGAATACATACTAGAGTTGTTACTTTAAAGGTTAAAAAATCCCTTTTAGTAAGTGAGTGCTGTCTTCTGTATGCACATCACTTTCACCAACTTCTTTGATCCCCAGTGTGCTCTTTGTCTCTTTCCTTGCTGATTGATGTGATGCAATCTTGATTTCTCAAGACTACACAGGCCATCATGCATTGCTTCCAGCAGGCAATTATAATGTTACAATGTTCAGATGTTGAGTTGTAGTTCAGAAAGCAGGCTCTGTGAAAGTTGTGAAACAGGAAGTGCTTATCCACATGACTGAGTGAAATTGTGTCAGTGCATTGAAAAAGTACATCCTGTGGGATTCTTGAGTAAGTTTACAAACTTTTAGATCGATATGGTTATTAGTAGTGGAATAGAACTCAATATAGAGATACAGATTTATTTCTAGTTTTAGACCATAGATACCCTTTAAATTTCACTGTAGTTTCATTTTATCTTATCTAAACTATTGGTTATCTAAATACCCCTCCCCAAAAAAACAATAAACAAAACGCCTATCGAACGGCACAGGTTTCTAGGACCATAGTGGCACTGTGACAGGAAAAGAGTTGTCCACTTTTGAATCCACTCTGAAGTCATTTGAAAGCACCTGATATTTGTATGTCCACAGGGGTGTGTGCCAATGAACTGGTTACCAAGGGTACTAACTCTTTAACAAATGTTGTGGTCCACAATTAATGTTACATGACAAGCAAAAGAAGCTACTTACCCTCTCCTGAAATCTACATATCTCCATTGCTGCCAGCTTTCTCTTCTCCTCCCTTTCTGCTTCTTCTCTCAGCGCTCTTTCCAACTGTAGAAACTCTTCTTCCTCCTTCCTGATTCTTGTATGTTCTTCCACTATGAGTTTGACTTCCAGTTGGCGCTGGCGCTCCTTTCTCTGCTTCCTCTGCTGCTCTTCCTCTTCTTTTAGCTTTGCCTCAAGCTTTGCAGCAGCCTCAATCTCCTTCTCTCTTTTCCAGGCCTCTACTTCCTGCTGCCGTTTTCTTCTTTCTTCTTCCACCTTCTGCTTCTGAGCTTCTTCCTTTTGTTGTTTCTCAAATTCTGTTATGTCTTTGGTCTTCTCTTGAATTTTGGACTTTTCTTGTTTTACTTGCTGTTTCCTAGATTTCCACTTGTGAATAGCCTAACAATAAAATACACGGAACAATAACAATAACAATGTTATATTCCACATTTTAGGCCTGAAAATGGCTTAAAACCCTTATATATTTTCTGAATGTCAAGACCCTATACAATATAATGGTGGTAGTTGCAAATGTGTATGTTGCGCAATATTAGCGCAACTCCTTATTAAACCCCAAAATTTTCTGACAAATTTAATTAAATGCCCCAAAACACAACAAAATACCCATTTTTTTAAATGAAATATAAAATATGAGGTTACAACGAGTAAAACGATACCCAACATGCCCAGTTTACAAATTGCGTGCGTCCGTGAAATGGCGAAAAACTGCAGTACCCCAAAAAGTCCATAGAAGACGCTTCTTCGGGACACAGAAGCTATCTGGCGACAGGTAAGTCACCAGAATCGCTTCAGTTGTAAAGCCGACAGTCAGCTTTACAAGTTTAAACAGAGTCCCGGCGGCTCTGTTTAAACAGCCCCGATGCTGGCGACGTACACTGTACGTCGTCATTCATGAAGGGGTTAAAGAGGCCACTGCCATCAGGGAATATAGTTTCCATGGTGGGGTGTTATTGGTCCGCAACAATGTTTGGGTAGGTGGTACATGTCAAAGTAATATCCACATAAATGTTAGTTTCCCAGCAGAATAATGCCCAAAGCATCACACACCCTCCGCTGGCTTGCCTGCTTCCTATAGTGCACCCTGGTGAAATCTCTTCCCCAGGTAAGAGACACACACACACAGCCAGCCTTCCACATGATGTAAAAGAAAACATGATTCATAAGACCAGGCCATCATTGCTCTGTGGTCCAGTTCTGATTCTCACGTGCCCTTGGTAGGCATTTTTGGCGGTGGACAGGGGTCAGCAAGGTCTACTTGACCGGTCTGCGGCTATGAAGCCTCATACACAACAAACTGCAGTGTACTGTGTGTTCAGACATCTTTGTACATTAACGTTTTCAGCAATTTGAGCTACAGTAGCTCTTCTATTGGATCGGACTACATGGGCCAGCCTTCACTTCTCACATGCATCAATAAGCCTTGGCCACCTATGACCCTGTCTCCAGTTCACCAGTTTTCCTTCCTTGGACCACTTTCGGTAGGTCCTGACCACTGCAGACTGGAACATCCCACAAGAGCTGCAGTTTTGGAGTTGCACTGACCCAGTTGTCTAGCCATCGCAATTTGGCCCTTGTCAACGTCACTCAAATCCTTACAGTTGCCCATTATTTGTGCTTCCAACACATCAACTTCAGAGGCAAAATGTTCACTTGCTGCCCAATATATTCCATCCACTTCCATATGCCATGGAAACGAGAATCAATGTTATTCACTTCACCTCTCACGTTATAATGTTATGGCTGATTGGTCACAGTGGTGGTACTATAGAATACTACAGTTACAGTTTGAATCTAAAATATGTATTAATCCCTATATTCAGTTTTTACAACACAAACTTGAAACACAAAACGCTAACACACATTGCAGGGAATGTACTAAGGCTGGAACAGCCAAATCTGAAGCAGCTGTGCATGGCAACCAATCAGCTTCTTGATTTCATTTTGACTAGCTTAACTAAACAAGCTGAAGGTAGAAGCTAAATTTGGTTACTATGCACAGCTGATCCAGATTAGGCCTGCTTCAGTTTTAGTGAATTCCCCCCACTTTACAATCATATGCAGTACCTGCATTTTACAAATACAAACAAAAAAAGTTGCTCACTTCTTTCTTCTTTTCTTCTAAAAAGAGGAGCTCCTGATACCAGGCCTCGTGTTGCTGGATGTCCTCCCGTGTCCTGCTAGGCAAATATGCCAGGGCTTCTTCTAAGTACGTAGGCTTGCCCTTATGCTTGGTCCACAATTTCATGAAGCTTTGGTGGTCAAAGTCATCCCATCCTCCCAGACGGCCTCCTGTCTGCTGCAGAAACCTTTCAAAAGCCACCACTTCTTCTGGGAGCTGGCTGGAGAACATGGCATCCGGTAGGGATTTTCCTGAAGGAGCCTTGAAGGATGTTTCGGGTGGATTAATGAAGGATGCCTCTATTTTTTTCTCCAGGGCTGTCAGCTCAGTGAAGGTTGTCTTTTCTTCTTTCAATAGGTCTTCATAACTAAAACCAAGTAAAATAACTATGTTTTGCTTATGTGAATGACCACCAATTAATGTAATTTCACTTGAAGTTTTAAACAAAGGACTCTTTCACACCAGCGCACTGTGGTACTGCAACATCTACGCATTGGTGCTTTGCAGGGTCATTTGTTGTAAATGGCACCTCAACATACCACAACGGCAAACAAAATGCAACATGTACTAACTTTTCACGTTTTCAGGTGCATTACATCCCATTTCATTTTAAATGGGCTGCGTAATGCAACGTGCCCCAATGCACAAAAACATGTGAGTTGTGGCGCATTATGGTGTGGACCAGTCCTAAGGCAGTATAACAATTCTGATATACAGACTTCCTCAGGATTGAGAGGGGTCTTATGTAAACAAAAAAAATGACTGAACAGGTCTGTGTGACACATAGCAACCATATGTCCAGGTTAGAAAACAAAAAAGAGAAGATGTCTGGTTTCCAAAGGACAATATACAATTTAGGTGCTATGCTGTAACACAGAGAATGCTAATTGGTGGGAGAGGGTGTGATCTGAAAGCATAAAAGGTATAGTGAACAAAATCCCCAATTTAGAAAAAGCATTGTCATTGTAGGAATGTTGCTGCAAACACACAGCTGATACTGGAAACCCTGCCCATGTGTCCTGGGCCTATTTTATTATAAGGTGCATTGTATATTTATTTGCGTATTCATTTCGCATAATGTGTATTATATTGTCGATATTCATATTAACTTTTCTTAAAAATACAATGGTCAGCATAAAAATGGTTCTTCCTCAATTTCAACATAATTTACTTTTTCTTTTGTGTCACCAATAATAGATGAGGAAGTTCACTGCTGTCTACATAAAACACTGATGTGCGGTAATGCAGTGCACACATTTGATCAATTCCTTTAATAGTTACACAAATAATTTACCTGAATACTAACTGCCGGTGTTATATCAAAGTTTATGACTGTGTAAGAATGTGTGACCGGTGACGTGGTCGCACATTTGAACGTAATCCCACCCAGTTTTCGGCGGTGGAATGTGTGACCGGTCAGGACACGTGGTCACACATTTTAACGTAATCCCGCCCACTTTTTCTGCAGTGGAATATGTGACCAGCAAAATGTGAAGAATTCCAACACTTTGTCAGCCGTTCCAGGGCAGATCGCCATCGCAGATCGTATGTGCAGGAGAACCGATCTGCCCTGGAACAGCTGATCGGTCCTGAAATGTCACTTCTGTCCGACTTTGTGACTGCGATCTCACATTCCACAAAGTCAGATAGAAGTGACATTTCAGGACCGATCAGCTGTTCCAGGGCAGATCGGTTCTCCTGCACATACCATCTGCAATGGCGATCAGCCCTGGAACGGTTGGCAAAGCGTTGGAATTCTTCACCGGTCACACATTCCAACCCAGTCACAATCTTTGATAGCACACCGGCACTACCACTGCTAGTGAAAAAAAGGTATTGTATTGAACTCTAGGCAGACCCTGACCTTTCTACTGCAAATGTGGTGCGTTAACATGTACTGCAGTAAGGCAGCCTATTTTCTCGAATGGGATGACATGCACCACAATGCAGTTG